AAGCTGCGCTTTACGGGGATATTTGGTGTATTACGGTAGCACAAACCGTTCGCAAGCTACTGGTCTAGAGAGACATTTTAAACGGTTACTGAAAGACAAGAAGACGAGCTTTACTAAACTTTACGGTGTATCGTTAGAATGCATGACCAACGATGGTCCAGTCACAGGTAAGAACTGATGATGCACAGAGCAGAGAAGCAGGTGTGGAGACGTGGATGGCCCCGAAAAAGGTCTTGATATTTAAAAAATGAGTGGCCTTGGCTCAAAAACTTTTTTAGTATAGTTAAAGTTAATATTAAAAGTTGCTGTTGTGTTACATTTTGTTCCTGTTGAATATCAGTTAACTCTAAATCTGACAGTCTGGGTTTTTTTTTTCCACTTTAAACTCTTGTTCCATTGTCATAACAATACAATAATGGAAAATGACTGCCAGATATTGAAAGCTGAGGTTATTCTGAAAAAAGCCGCAAAAACATTCACTTATACTGTGATTTCTGGCCCTTTTACAGCCAAAATAACCAAATAAGTCCAGGCAGCCTGTATGATACTTGGACAATAAAGGGTTAATAATGACTGGTTCTCACATACCTGTATTTAGCCAGATGATTGTAGAAGTTGTGATCAACTCGACCATAATAACAGAAAAATACTTTTAAAGAACGAGTCCGTTTCTTTTTATTATTCTTGTCAAACATTTATCACATTTTTGTGTCATGGTCCTGGGTCAGTGACCCAGTGTTTTTGGTTATGTACTTTTACTTTTGATAGTTTTGTATTTTCTACGGTTTAGTGGTGTTCCCTCTGTTTGGTGTCTTCCCTGCTTGTGCATTCCCTTGGTGTAGTAGGTCTCTGTGTTAAGTCCGCGTCTCTGAGTCTGTGTCATTATGTGTATGTGTTTCCTGTTTTACTTTGAAGGGCTCTGTCAGTGTGTTCTGTTTACGTTTCCCCTGCCTCGTCAGTTGTGATGTCTTCCAGGTGTGTTTCCCTCCTGCTTCCCATCCCCTGATTCCTGGCGTGTGTATTTATAGTGTGTGTTACCTCGTCCTCGTTGCTGGTTCGTCTGTGTTGTTCCCCTCCATGTTCTCGTGTATTCTCCCTGCATCTCCGTTTCTCGACTCAAGGTTTCAGGTTTGTTTTTGCGTAGCTTTTCCCAGTTTATTTTATTCTTAGGTTTTGGTTTTCTTCCTCATCGTCCCTGTTTGTTTCAAACTTTTGTTAATAAAGCTCGCTCACAACTTAAGCAGTCTGCATCTTGGGTCCGTTTATATCCTTCTGAGACCCAGTAATTCATTTTTGTGCACTGTAGTACACATTTAGTTTTTGCTTGTACCTCTCATACTCTACTTGCCACTCTTCTAAGTCCTGATGTTTCTTAGAGAGGACAACAGTACCTTTAAAATAATATCACATGTGTGGGGTGTGGCCTTGCCAATTGTTTTTTTCCCACCTTTTCAAAATGGCTGGCATGCCCACAAGCACATTTTATGGAAGAAAGAAAGGTAAGCATGATATTTACATTTAAAATGTTTTTTAAAATCAGATTTTGATTAATTTTCAAAAATAAACATCTAGTAAATAATTTGAGGGTTTTTTAAGAATTAAGCTTATTTAGTTTCACAGAGGAAATGACTAATTTATTAATGTGTACTCTAGTGCACGTCGGGACTTTGTACTTATATTTATTTCACTTTTTCCTAGTAGACCAACATGTAGGAGAATCTGAAATTTTTGATTTTGAGTTAAAAATAAAATATGGGTAAAATGCAGAAATGTTTTCCAGTAAAGTAAAAAAAACAAGAGTCGCAATTATAGCTGAATCCATGACACCTGATTGTTTCTACAAGATCACGTCTTTGCTGAAAGTTGTCAATGATCTCAATGTGTGAAAAGAACTCACAGTATCTGGAATTCAAGCTCCTCTTGGCTGAGAAACCAGGGACAAACATGTGATCAAGACCTGATTAATACCAGTAATGAAGAGTTCTCTCCAAAAATCAAGAAAAGGAGGCCCCAACCAGATGAGAGTCTAACAAAATATGGTTCACTCCACTTGCCTGAAATGGTTAACAGTCCAAGGCATTTCAGTTGTAGAATGGTTGGGTGCAACAGTAAAACATATGTGAGATGTGGGAAGTGCCAAATGTTCCTTTGTGTCTCCAAATAAAAAAAATCACAGTACTTCCTCAGATATCATACATGAATTGACTTTTGTGAAATAGAAAGCCCAGTGCAATCACTTGTTCCTGAACCAATGGCTTACAGCTAGTGAAGTGTCAGTGACTTCTAAGTTGACCTATAATCTACATTTTTATGATATTGTTATATAAATAAGTTTTAATATCCTGTTCACAAAAATTTCAATGGAGCATTTAATTTTCTTAAATAGCTCTTGAATGTTGTTAGTTTCACATTCGTGATCAATGAACTCCCCTTGTGCACTGTAGTGCACATATTGTAAAATTTAAATAAAATTAGTTAAAATTTTTGTTTTTGTAATGTGTTTTTTTTACCATCCCAACACTTGATTTATCTGAAAAAATCAAAATCAAAATACTTTTTTTTCCCTGGGTCTCAGGAGGATATTCTCACACGGCCTGCCTCGGAAACACGTGACAGTACGAACCAGCCACTATGGACCGAGCAGTTTGCAACCCTTCTGAGGAGCTAAAGGACGACATTATTTTCACTGTGGAGAACCTCATCAGCCTGTGGCTGGAACACCCCCGGAAGAGCTTCGCCGCGCAGTGGAAAATTGGCTACAACGGCTCTTTTCCGGCTTGCCATGGCTGTTGGAATAGCTTCCCCCGACCATGCAGGCTTTTCTCCACCTCACACCACACCTTCTCTCCGCCATTACTATCTCGCTGCCCGCCCCACCCCACAGCCAGACGTTCTGACTTCTAAATCGCCGGCTGTGGTGAGTGAGGACTCTTTTTCTGTGTTGGACTGTGGAACTGTTTTTTCTGGGACTATGTTTTATGTGGCAGATAGCAATGTCAACAGCTTATTAGCTGATCAGCAGCAGCCACCTTCAGCTCAGTTAGCTGATCAGCAGCAGCCACTCTCGGCTCAGTTAGCTGCCCAGCAGCCACTCTCGGCTCAGTTAACTGCCCAGCAGCCACCTTCAGCTCTGTCACCAGTGCCTCCACTGTCACTTTCAGTGCATTCTCCAGTGCCTCCACTGTCACCTTCAGTTCAGTCTCCAGTGTGAGCTGCTCACTCGCTCTCCGCTTAGTCTCCAGCGCCACCTTCAGTTCAGTCCCCAGTGCCTCCAGTGTCACCTGTAGCTCAGGCCCCAGCGCCTCCAGTGTCACCTGTAGTTCAGGCCCCTGCGCCTCCAGTGTCACCTATAGTTCAGGCCCCTGCGCTTCCAGGGTCACCTGTAGTTCAGGCCCCTGCACCTCCAGTGTCACCTGTAGTTCAGGCCCCTGTGTCACCGTTACTCGTAGTTCAGGCTCCAGTATTACCAGGTTCACTCGTTCACTCCATGCAGGGAGAAAGTCTTATTCCTACTCAGGGTGCGTTTCATGGTTTAGCCGCCATTGGCACAGTTTGCCACTCCAGGGCTTCCCCAGAGGCTAGGTCTCAGTCCCCAGCTTATTCTGGACCCCTGAAATTTAAGCAGCCCCCTGAGAACAGCACCATGTCAGCGTTGCCTGGGCAGAGCCAGTGCTCAGTGCATTGCCAGTTGCCCTTTTGTCAGCTAGTGGACTCCATGCCTGCTGGCTTTGTGATGGCTTCTGCTGGAGGGTCCGAGGGACCGCTCCGGCCTTCGTCTCATGTCTCCGCTGCAGGGTCCGAGGGACTGCTCTGGCCTGCGTCTTGTGTATCCGCTGCAGGGTCCGTGGGACCGCTCCGGCCTTTGTCTCCTGTCATCGCTGGAGGGTCCGAGGGATCCATCCAGCCTGCTGCGCCTCCACCTGCGGCTTCCACGCCACCGCCTGCAGCGCCGCCACCTGCAGCGCCGCCACCTGCAGCGCCCCCGTCTCCGGCTTCCACGCCGCCGCCTGCAGCGCCCCCGTCTCCGGCTTCCACGCCGCCGCCTGCAGCGCCACCGTCTCCGGCTTCTACGCCGCCGCCTGCAGCGCCACCGTCTCCGGCTTCCACGCCGCCGCCTGCAGCGCCGTCATCCTCGTCTGGCCCAGCTTCAGACTCATCATCCTCGCCAGCCGCAGCCTCCAAGTCTTCAGTCTCGTCTGGCCCAGCCTCAGAGTCTTCATCCTTGTCTGGCCCAGCTTAAGACTCATCATCCTCGCCAGCCGCAGCCTCCGAGTCTTCAGTCCCGTCTGGTCCAGCCTCAGTGTCTTCAGTCCCGTCTGGTCCAGCCTCAGTGTCTTCAGTCCCGTCTGGTCCAGCTTCTGCATCTGCGTTTGGAAACAATGACATTTTGTGGAGCTGAATGTGTTTGAAAACTCTTTAATATGTTTACTGCCTCATACACCAACTACTACACCTGCTGCACCCTCTCACCTTTGATAGTGTCTAATGGAGAGAAACAATTGAAATGAGCATAAACTTAAATGCTACATAAGCATCATGTCAGTGGCTGCCTTATCTGTATGTTTAAGATCATTATCCTCCTGCATTGAAAAAAATACTGAAGGACTGTTTGATAATTTCAGTGAGAACTCGGACATTTCTAAAGTGAAGTATATTTATATAGAAGAAAGTGTTAACAAGCTTAAAAGTTGATGTGAGCAGTAAATAAAAGGGTTAAACACACAGTGTCACTCTCAAACTGCTCCTCTTCTTGGAGTGAAGCACAGCCTGATAACCCTCCCTCTTCTTTGTGCTCTTAAACACAGCACCTCCTCTCTGTCCACGTGTTTCCTCGTTCCCTCCCCTTCAGTTCTGAACTTGGGTGTAACCAACATGTGGTGATGTGTAAGAGCTGACAGGGTCCATTCACTGCAGAAACACATGATGTTGAGGTCAGAGCTTAGACTAGTTTCAGTTATAAGGAAGTGAAACTCACACAGTCACTGACACTGAGAGGAGAAATGGCACAGAAAGGAGTTCAGCTGGACCGAGAAACCTTCTCTTGTTCCATCTGTTTGGATCTACTGAAGGATCCGGTGACTACAACCTGTGGTCACAGCTACTGCATGAACTGTATTAAAACCCACTTTGATGAAGAGGACAGGAAGGGAATCCACAGCTGCCCTCAGTGCAGGAAGACTTTCATACCGAGGCCTGTCCTGGAGAAAAACACCATGTTAGCAGCTTTAGTGGAGCAGCTGAAGAAGACTGGACTCCAAGCTGCTCCAGCTAATCTCTGCTATGCTGGACCTGAAGATGTGGCCTGTGATTTCTGCACTGGGAGGAAGCTGAAAGCTATCAAGTCCTGTTTGGTCTGTCTGGCCTCTTACTGTGAGAAACACCTCCAACCTCACTATGATGTAGAGCCATTAAAGAAACACAAGCTGGTGGCTCCCTCCAAGAAGCTCCAGGAGAGCATCTGCTCTCGTCATGATGAGGTGATGAAGATTTTCTGTCGTACTGATCAGCAGAGTATCTGTTATCTCTGCCTGATGGATGACCATAAAGGCCACAAAACAGTCCCAGTTGCAGCAGAAAGGACTGAGAAGCAGAAGGAGCTCGAGGTGAGACGACTAAACATCCAGCAGAGAATCCAGGAGCGAGAGAAAGATGTGAAGCTGCTTCGACAGGAGGTGGAGGCCATCAATGGCTCTGCTGATAAAGCAGTGGAGGACAGTGAGAAGATGTTCACTGAGCTGATCCGTCTCATCCAGAAAAGAAGCTCTGATGTGAAGCAGCAGGTCAGATCCCAGCAGGAAACTGAAGTGAGTCGAGTCAAAGAGCTTCAGGAGAAGCTGGAGCAGGAGATCGCTGAGCTGAAGAGGAAAGACGGCGAGCTGGAGCAGCTCTCACACACAGAGGATCACAACCAGTTTCTACACAACTACCCCTCACTGTCAGCACTCAGTGAGTCTACACACTCATCCAGCATCAAATTCCGTCCTCTGAGGTACTTTGAGGATGTGGCAGCAGCTGTGTCAGAGACCAGAGATAAACTACAGGACATTCTGAGAGAGGAATGGACAAACATCTCACTGACAGTCACTGAAGTGGATGTTTTACTGTCACCAACAGAGCCAAAGACCAGAGCTGAATTCTTAAAATGTTCATGTGAAATCAAACTGGATCCAAACACAGCAAACACACATCTGTTATTATCTGATGGGAACAGAAAAGTAACATTTATGATGTTCAAACAGTCTTATTATCATCATCCAGACAGATTCACTGGATGTTTACAGGTCCTGAGTAGAGAGAGTCTGACTGGACGTTGTTACTGGGAGGTGGAGTGGAGAGGGGGAGCAGTTCGTGTAGCAGTCGCATACAAGAATATCAGCAGAACAGGGTTGGGCAATGAATGTTTATTTGGAAACAATGACAAATCTTGGGCATTACATTGTTACACAAACGGTTATATATTTCTGCACAACAAAGTCCAAACTGTCCTCTCAGGTCCTCGGTCCTCCAGAGTAGGAGTGTACCTGGAACACAGAGCAGGTATTCTGTCTTTCTACAGCGTCTCTGAAACCATGACTCTCCTCCACAGAGTCCAGACCACATTCACTCAGCCGCTCTATGCTGGACTTTGGACTTGGAAAAATGGAGACACTGCAGAGTTGATTAAAGTCAAACAGAGAAGACAGGTTCATGTTGATCCCTGACCATTATATGTACTTGTGTCGTTTTTAAATGAGGCTTTACATTTTAGAAGCTGAAAAGTTCAGTGGTCCATTGATGTGTGAAAATAATATTGCACTGATTCAAACTGTACTTACATTTATATACCTTACATCAATATAAATCTGAATTTGTTCTTATAGCTGATAATCATGTGAGTTTAAATGATACTACTGTTAGGTTTTGTATTGTTGATTGTCATTTATGCTTAGAAATATCTACTTATATATGCTTAGAGTTTTGTAATTAGTTGTAGATTGGTAGAGGGTTTGATCCTTGATAGTCTGCAAACTTTGTGTGCATTAGAGAGCACTCTGGGAGCACGAGAGAGGTCGTACCTTGTTTTATTGTTTTATGGTAGGATAAACGTGGCTGTGTTTGTTTTAGGCTAAGTGCCTTTTGTTTAGATGAACTGCTGGACTTCCAGACCAGCAGGTTTAGGGAAGTCATTTATGGGGTCACACTCTGACCCCACACACACACACACACACACACACACACACACACAGTACTCTTTGTTTGTATGTAGACGTCGTATGTTAATGAACCTATGCATATTCATGTAACCTCAATAAAAGAGCAGTGTTACGGGGTCGAGAGCAACTGGGGTCAAGCGAAGGAACTGCATCTGTCCGGTTCTCTCCCGTGCACGAGAAACATGAAGAACTTTGCCTACTTCGTGTCTTGCTTGCAGTGTAATTATATTGTCCTCAACGTTCCAGCTAATAGGTTCAAGCTACAAACCTATCAACTACTCTTCATATTCAGCATGTTTGAAATCTGTCATCAGTCTGGTTAGTGGTTTTATTCTGTAGTTTCTGTAGTGGGTTGTCAAATGCAAAAATATATTGGAGCTGCAGTGATTCATCAGTTAGTCCATTATTAGAGAATTTATTGTTTTATAATTATTTTAATCACATTTAAAGTTGGTTCCAGTGTCTGAAACGTGAAACCTGATCATATATGACTGTAAACTTAATGTCTTTGAGTTTTGAACTTTTACAATTTAATAAAACTTTGAATCCTTGAGGTTTTTGATATTATATTATTGTATCTAGAGTGACCACACTTAATGTCATTTTTCATATGAAAAGTTTGATCACACTCGATCATTTATATTATTATTATTATTTAAATCCATTCACTCACTTCTGCTCATCCTTTTCAGGGTCACTGCAGCCTATTCCAGCTGTCTTGGGGAGAGAGGCAGGGTACACCTTGGACAGTCTGTCACAGGGCTAACACATAGACAACCATTCGCACTCCCATTCACTCCCTGTCCTCCTCTCTCCCCACCTTCACCCAGTACGCCACCTGCCTCACCAGAGACAATAAAACATTGGACTTATTGTATGCTAACACCAAGGAGGCATACAGCTCATCATCTCTTCCTCCCCTGGGGGCTCAGATCACAACCTTGTTCATCTCCAGCCTGTGTATAAACCTCTAGTACACAGAGAACCAGTTGTGAAACGCACAGTAAGGAAATGGTCGGCAGAGACTGAAGAGGCCCCGAGGGACTGTTTCCTTTCCACTATGTGGGACAACCTACCAAATTTCCCCTTGTGTTACAATTAAAGGATTATTCTATTCTATTCTATTCTAACCTCTGCAGCCTTTTGGAGGATGACCTCAACAGCATCACAGACTGCATTACGAATTACATGAACTTCTGTGTGGACAACACCGTACCCATCATAAAGGAATGATGTTTTTCTAACAACAAGCCATGGATAAATCCTGAAATAAAGGCTCTCTCATCAAGGAGAAGAAGAGAGTCTTTAGATCTGAAGACAAACAGGAGCTAAGAGTTGTCCAGAAGAAGCTGAAATGGAAGATAAGGCAAGGGAAGGAAAACTACAGGAGGAAGATTGAAGAGCAGCTGTAACAGGACAACATCAGAGGGGTTTGGAACAGCCTGAAGACAATCTCAGGACAAATACCAAACACCCAGGCTTCAGGATACTTGGGGTGGGTAAATTACTTACTTACTTAGATCCTCCCATGCCTTATGTTGACATATCGGGCGGCAAACGAATGCCACCAGGCTTGATCTTGTGCCCGGGCTTCAGCTTCTTCCAACAATATATTTGATGTCTTTAGGTCTTGATGGAATGACCTTTGCCAGGTGTTACAGGGACATCCTCATGGTCTTTTAATGCCCAGAGGTTGCAAGCGCATCTCTGTTTTTGGAATCCGTCTGTCATCCATGCGGAGGATATGGCCGGCCAGTCGGAGTCTTTGGCCTGCAACGATATTGTGAAGTTTGACCGTGCCACTCTTTCGCAAGACCTCCTCGTTGGTGATGTGCTTGGTGTAGCGGATCTACAGAATCCAGCGAAGGCATCGCTGCTGAAAGACGTCGAGCTTGGTGTTGATGCAGGCCGACACCTTCCAAGTCTCGCTGGCATAAATGGCGGTTGGGATCAAGATCGAATTAAGCAAGTGGAGTTTGATCTTGAGGGAGATGGTCGGGGAGGACCAGATCTTGTTCATCCTCCGAAATACCGCAGCCACCTTTCCAGTGCGGCATTTGACATCCACCTCCGCATCGCTGTCATGGGAAATCACGCTACCGAGGTAGGGGAATTTCTTCACTTCTTCTAGCTGCTGTGTCCTGATGTAGATCCCCCATCATGGGTCCTTGGAACTGACGTGCATGATCTGCGACTTTTCAGAGCTCCTCAGGCCAATCTTGCCGGCTTCTTGTCTTAGATCGGTCGTTCCTTGCTGTAGCTTCAGCTCATCTTCCTCGAGTAGGGCGATATCGTCAGCGAAATCGAGGTCGCCAAGACGGTCAATGGATGCCAGCTCCTATACGGGCACCAGCTCGCCGCATGTCGTAGTCGAGGGCAACGAGAAAAAGCTGTGGTGACAGGATGCAGCCCTGCCTGATGCCGGTGGTGTTCTTGAAGAAGTCGGTGTGGCCATTTCCGGTCTTAACGCAAGAACACGATCGCAAGTACAGGTCCTTGAAGATGTTGAGGAAGATGGTAGGGACACCGTACAAGCGCAGGATCTGCCAAAGAGAATCGCGGTGGATGCTATCGAAGGCCTTCTTGAATCGACGGAATTGATAGCGAGTTGTTGCCGATACTCGATGCAGTGTTCGATGATGTTTCTGAAGACGAAAATCTGTTTCGTGCACGATCGGCCGCTTTGGATCCCAGCTTGCTCCTCTCATAGACGTTGGTCGAAGGCACACCTCGGTCGTCGAACGAGGACAATACAGAATGGCTTGCCAGGCACAGAGAGAAGGGTGATGCCTCTCCAATTGGTACACTCGGAGGTCTTGCCCTTCTTTGGTAACTTGACTATGGCGCCCTTCCGCCAGTCCTCCGGCACTGTGCCACTTTGCCAGCACTTGTTGAACAGGGTCGTCAATTCTTCCACCTGGGCTTGGTTGCCGTGTTTCAGGAGCTCTGCTGGTATTTCGTCTAAGCCAGTCGCTTTGTTGTTCTTGAGGCTCTTGATCGCGATCTTCACTTCCTCGATGATTCTGCCAGTGTTGACCCCAAGCTCATGTTGGGCATCCTCCGCCTCAAAATTGTACGTCGTGGCGGGCTCTGGCTGGTTAAAGGTCTCTTGGAAGTGTTCGGCCCATCTTTTGTTTTGATCTTTTGTTTTGCTACTACTGCACATTCACCCAGTGTATATACTATATATATATATATATATATATATATATATATATATATATATATATATATATATATATATATATATATATATATATAATGTTCTTCCTCTACACCCCCCCCAATTTTTGCACATGTCGAGGAGCGTGTCAGGCTACATTTCACTGTGTGTTATACTTGTATAACTATGCATGTGACAAATAAAGAACCTTGAACCTTGAACCTCTTCTTTTTTTTAATACTTTCTCTTTATTGATTTTCATCTTATTTTACATACAGAACTAAAGAGGGCAAGGGAAACCAACACAGTCACATATGATCACATATTCCAAAATACACAACGCCTTGTTTTACGTACACATATTACATATTACACAGGTGCATGTTCCATTCAAACAAATTCGCAGCTGTCCCTCTGCATCACAGAGGTATCAGTTTCTAGTCTCTTGACGTATAACGATCCCATCGTTCCCAAAGTCTCTCTCCTTTCTCCTTCTGTAGCCGCAGTGAGAGGGTAATCAGTTCCATATGATGAATTGTGTTAATAATGTCTATGACCAGCTTCCGTGTGGGGGGCTTGTCCGTAACCAACACTTAGTAATTGCCTTTTTGCATGCAACCATAATTATTTTCAGTAAGTGTGAGTCTCTGTTTTTTATATCCTCAGGGATATTCCCAAGGTACATGGTACTAAAGGAGAAGTCCAGTGTTACTTCCAGCACATCCATCACCATTTGTTTAATCTCCTCCCAAAAGGTCTTCAGTTTGGGGCATGACCAGAAGACATGGAAGCAACCTGCAGTGACCTCCCCGCACTCCCTCCAGCATGAAGTGCCTGAACCACTTTTTTTGGATTTCTGCTTTGGTGTGATGAAGAATCTAATTAAATTCTTCCATCCAAAATCTCGCCATGTTAAAGAATTTGTGGTAGACAACACATTCTTCCACATCCGCAACCAATCTTCCTCTGAGATAGTTATACCTGCTTCTTTTTCCCATCGATGACTGACATATCTTGTTGAGGTCTTTTTCATGGCTGTAAAACTTCTGTATATTTTGCCTATAGTACCTCTTATAATGTTCTCACCATAATGTTTTGCTCTTCTTGAGTGATCAGGAGCATCCCATTTTTGTCCTTGACCGGGACGTTTGCATTAGTCCTCGATCCAGTAAACTCATTTACGATGCGGTATATGTAGGGATGGGTATCGTTTAGGTTTTATCCGATACTGGTGCCAAATCGGTACTTTTGAAACGGTGCCGGTGCTTAAACGGTGCTCAAACCGGTGCTTAAAGAATGGAGAACACAAAATTGGTCCAAAACCTCTCATGTTCAGCTGTTTTTTT